TGAAAACATGAGCTTCCGCAAGCCTTCCGCGAAGAAACGCTTCCGCGGAGCTTCCGCGTCCTTCCGCGCGCACAGGAGAACCTCATTTTCGGACACGAATTGGAGACGATAGGGTCGCCCGAATTAATAGTTGATCTAGCCTAAAAAAACTGCTGCTCACATTAGCGTGCTATGAATGCGAGCGTGTTAAGACATGAATTGTTGCGCAAGGTCCTGACACATCGTGCCTTGCCTTACATTTGGACTCCGCATGAGTGCCTGCGGATGAGCCGTTTGCTGTTTTGGGGCAGGTTCCAAGCGCTACATAGGGGCTTGAAAATCGTTGAGGGATCATACTATATACCCTCAGCTGAAGGGCCAAGCAATTCGACCCTTTTGAGATAGTCAGTTTAGAATTCAGAGCCCTTGCACCTTAACCTGGCATGCTTACACCACCTTCAATACTTGAAAGCAAAGCGCAACAATCAACATGGCGTTGCTTTTGAGGCGACAGGGAGAAGGAGCGGGGCCCCAAGGGCCTGCCTTTTGTGCGTTCAAACTGAACCAACCCAGGAATCTCGGGTTCAGTTTGCCAGGGGACAATCCATGCACACAAGATGGTGACCAATCCAGCACTCTCGACTAGGGCCTGCTCTTGCAGACTTTGGCGCAGGTTCAGTTTGCAAAGCATGCTTGCGTCACCTGATGCTTTGCATGAGCTTACATACTGCATTCCGCGAGGTACTGACCGTCCTGATTCCAGATGAACCTGTTCGCCTGCTTCTGGGCTGCGATTAAAATAGAAGCGCAGCACACAGAGTTGGTGGTGCAGGGTATCTAGTTTAAATTTGCACTTTCAGACTTCGGCTGGTTTGAAACCAAGATTTGCACACACACCTTATTCTTGCGATGGGGTGATTTCGTAGTAGATTTCCGAAATAATTCATACTAAGAGAAAATGATTCTCGTGGTGGGTCTGGATTGTAGGGGCAGGCTGGGGAGACCGCTCATTGGCATGCCAGACCCTTGATATCCGCGCTGGGTCGTAGGGCCTGAAGACTCCCCAAATGGCTGACGGGACCATATTATGGGGGCTCTATGATGAGATGGTTTTACATCGGGTGCGCCAGAGGACCAGCAGACCCGAGGACCAGGCACAAGCCTGACTGTTTTGATTCTTAGAAACCTTTTCTTCCTGCGTAGCTAGATGTCTGTTATTCTTCTTGATGCCTGTGCCGATACGTATAAACAAGAAGGCAAACGGGCATGCCTCATGTTGCCTTGAGCATGACTGTCCCCTCTGAATTAACCCTGCCTGAGGTCGAGAACCAGTTCAGCATTCGAGACCTAGGGGCATGCTCAGGTTCAACACCCCGTAAGATCTGGAGCAGCGAAGCTGTGCTGGAAAAAGTCAGACGGGCGCAAAAAAGATAGATGGTACTTCTCCAACCAGATGCTTCGCTTTTCCCTGGTAGCCGTGTGGAGTGGGAATTGGCAACAATCTTGGCAGCATGAACTGATGGGCCTGTTTGTATTTGCCTTGAACTTTTTGATCTCTTCGCCCTGGCCAGAAAAGATCCATCACTTGGCCCATCTTTGACAGCCTGCAGGCACGTGCATTTCGAAGAAGCCTTGAACTCATCATCAGCCATCTTCATGGCGGCCAGGGGATTGTCTCTTATGAGGTTGACCTCGCAGCAGGACAAGGATCCTCATCCATATTGCCTTCTGCTCTTACAATTGGACGGGGACCCTCCTCTTTTGTCTTGTCCACACAGGGGATTGGCATGCGACCGCAAGTTCTGAAAGGTTTTAACATGTAGTCTCTGTGTTGTTAGCTAGGCTGCCCATTATCACTACAAGTATCATCCATCATCGGTAATTAGAATCGGTCGTGCTTGTTGTGCTCATGGCTTGCAATTCACCGTCCTCCATGCCAGTAATGCTGAGGAAGGTCGGCAACAGTAACGGTGGTACTGAGTCAGGCTTTGAGCGGTACGCGCGCTGATTAGCCAAGTTATGGTCATCAAGCAATGTGCTGTCGCTCTTGCTGTCAACGGTGTTGCCTGCGCCTGGTAGCCGCATCAAAACACATTGGGTCTTTGCAAGACTGTGAACATAGTTGCGGAACCGACGCGGGACCCTCAAGCTGCAATGCATGAACAGCCTGGAGCCAGTCCTGCTCCACAGCCCGAAGACCGTGAACAATGCCAAAGCACTAACACCCAAACCAACAAAATGCGAAATCCTCTGAGTTGCTTCCACTAGGTGTCTGGGGTGGAACAACTGGCTTATTCCCTTTTGACCCCACGCGCCTACCCCCAACGCACAAACTTACACAAAGTGCGCCTCGTGCGACTAGCTCATGATTCAGAATGGGTCTCTTGCGCTGAATACCCCGGCTATAGTGTGAACTACAGTCTCGGCAGCGAGCATTGCAAGAATGTCTATCATAGCTAGGCATCAGCTATTGGTGCCCTCAACGGTGCCCTGAACAGACAATCACTGGATGCAAGAGGATTTGTTGAGACGGCAGGTAAACCCAAGAGTAGCCCGTCAAGAGGCATGGCCAGGCCTTCTCAATCATGCGCTCCACAGGGCGCAGGACCAAAGCATTTGCATCCTGACTGCACCGTCAAGCCCATACGGACAATGTAAGCCATGCCATAATGTAGCAATCGCAAAGGTGATGCGTGTGCAGCAGGATCTTGGCTGAATGCTCTTGCTTTTGTATGCATCAAATTGTGTTGCAGAATGTTGCGGTCCACCTCTGCGCTCTCAAAGTCTGCCAGAGATGCTTTCAAAAAGTTGCGCATGTTCGTCTTTAACTTAATGACAGTTGATGAAGACCCCTTTCTCGCACTTTGACAAATCTCTGTGTTTTGAAGATGGCCAGGTCAGGATCCGAGAGGAATCCTTTGCCTCAAACGCTCTGGAGAGCCGTCGGGGCCCTCGTTGACAGAGGAAGAATGGTCTGCAGGAAGCAGCATGAGAAGGTAACAGTCAATCTACCATAGCTATCTCACTGCGCAATCTAGGTTGGAGAGCCATCTCCGACTGTTTGAAGAAAGCTGCGCTCGCAGGCATGACGTTTTACCACTCACATCCACTCACAGACTTAAGCGAATTATGGCGAAGCTGGAACACTGCAATCCAAGACAATGCCCTGTGCGGGCAAAAAAAGTGTGTGGGTAGGAGCAGATGGCCACTTGCAAGTGAGCTTGCTTACATGTGAAGCCCTCTTATTTGACAATACGCCAAGCAATCCTTGGAGAACTGGAGGGACGCCACGCAGAGGACAAGGCATATGAAGCCCTGCGAGCTTTCACTGGCATCACATGTTCTAGTTGAAGGCTACAGTGCACACAGCACAGCATAGCGCTGTGGCGCTGGCAGTCAGCATCATGTTGTTCTGCGACTCGACCCTGACAAATGGCCTGCATGCGGGCAATGCATTTCGAGGCCGAAGGCAGCTTCACCACAAGCCGCTTTGCTTTTTGTTTATGGTTCAAGGGCATGATGCATGACTTGGTGATACTTCTTGTAGTTTTAGTCGGACACTTTCGTGGTTGCTTACTAGGAGACTGTCCGGAGGACTCTCGTAGTTCCAGTCTAAGGTTAGCTTGAGGTGGAAGGGTGGGGAAGTGGAAAAAACCTAAGAAATCCAAAGCCGTCTGAGCTGCTGGCCGGGCATCGAAGAAGAAAGCTAGATGCCAATCATCAAACTCCTGCCTGATGGACGGTTCACCGCAGTCTCTTTGATGGGATGATGTCTCGTTTCTCTTGACCAGCTGAAGCGGTTTTTGACGGGGGTGGCCTTGGTGGGCCATGTTGACAGGGGTGATAGCGGTAGTCGAGTTGCTGGTCGTTGTCAGTCGTGATCGTGGTCGTGGCTGTCAAAGGATGAGATCGTCGCAGTGAGTATACCAATGAGTCGGACCGCTCACATTGCTTAACCGAGGGTCTGAATGGATGATTTGGTGGCCGTGGGCACCATGTTCGGTCTTGGCGTGGTGGGTGCTGGTGGCGGCAGCAGTGGTACTGGTGGTGGTGCTGGTGCTGGTGCTGGTGCTGGTGGGAAATGGAGGATGCGGCGGGGATGGCGAAGGGGTTCGGGACCACGGACACAGGTAAAGACAATGATGGATTGCTTGCCATGTCTGCAGCCAAGTAGCTCTGTCAGCAGCGACGGCCTGATTCTGAAACGCTCCTGTGGACGCAGGTCATCTGGACACCTGCAGGCACTTTGATACGGCGCCAGGCCACCTAGTCGATCTAGCATTACTGCCATGAAATCGTTCGCAACGCACATTAAATACTCTCATAAGCCATTTAGGGCTGCATGCCTGACAGCGTAGGACACCGCATCCTGCGCTGGTCCAGTCAAAAGCCAGCTTTCTACGGTTGACCAACAGCCCATGTCTTGCGCGCGCACGGCCATCTTATACCATCTCATATCAATAGTCCCATTCTGTCTTAGACTCTAGACCTCCCGATGGCTGGGCCTGGAAGTAGATACTTCGCGGGGGCAAATCATGTCTCGTATCAAAGGGTTCTAGCGAAAGCTCCAGCCCAGCCATGAACTCCTGCAGTCCTGGAGTAGCGTGGAGAGCAAGGACTGGCCAAGGTGACTCCAGCCACCAAACTCAGCACAGCAAAACAGCAAACTGTGTTGGAAAAAGCCTCCAATCGAATGTGCATGGAATGCATGGAAGCGCCCCGCCTGACATTCAATATCCCACTCAGAGCTGAGCTTGTCCTGCGCCTGGCAGAAGGTCGAAGATGGTCGAAGTGGAGCGTTCGTGGAGCGCTACTAGTTTACAGTCTTCTTTGATCATGCTCTGTAGCTTGCCTCCAACGGAAAGCTGCCCATCACGTAGGCCTCGCGTTTGATTTAGACAGAAGCCTGCTCCAGTTTCTGCACTTTGCAACCTGGGAGGGTGGGAACCGTCCAAAGGTGAAAATAAGTCTGCTCCAGAAATTAGACCTTCGTTTTTGCAGGGTTGTTGTACAAGTTTGGGGCCTTAGTGTTTTTTGTTTTGCCTTATCTCTTTCTTTGTCTTGCGGTATTTGAAGCACTGGATCGCTTGAAGACTCAACAATGGCTAGGGTGTAGCATTTCGCCTAAGTATGACTCATGTCGGATTGTGAGAAACGCATAAAAGGCCAACCATTTCCGTCCGCAAGTCAACAGCCTGAGGCTTCGGCATAGTCAGCATCTTGCTGAGCAACTGCTGCATCCCAAGCAACAACCACGTCCTTCTGCAGCCTTGCCTGCACTTTGATATAGAACGATGGAACAAGATCGTTGTGAACTCTGATAGCATATGAAGATGCCTCGGCAGTGTAGTTTCGAAGCTCATCATAGGTTTTGCTGCGTCCAGCAAAACCAACCTCACTTCCGCATCTACTTCAAACAGATATGCACTCTCCAAGCCCCAAACTGCCTAAGGGAAAACGGTCGGAGAACAAACTAAGGAGACTACCCAGAAGGCATGGCTCAGGAAGACTGCTGGGCAGAACGTGTCTCCATCACATCCTCCATGTCCCGAAAACCTGGCGTTGCTTGCGTATATGCAAGGAGCATCAGAGCAATGCACAACACTGACAGGCCGACCAGTTGTGGTAGTAGAAATACCTTGTGCTGTTTATTGGAAGGTTTGTTGATTATCACGGCACGATAAGGATGCTCCCGTACTAGTCTGAACACACTGCCCCGTGCAATCGTAAAACCTACTCAACAGTCACCTCCGCCCCATCCCCGGTCCCCTTATTCTTCGCGCTTCCTGTTGTGTGCTAGATGGAGAAGCAGCCTGGAGAAATTGCAAGCACGGCAGCCACCGCAGATGCGAAGGACAGATGTGCTCCAGCCATTACAATCATGATTGCCAACATTCTGCCATGCAGTCGGGATCTCTTGCGTTTGCTTGCGACACTTATAACTAGCAGAAAGGACGAGCAGCTCGTCAAAGGAACAGAGGCATCAAGCTCACAAATTGCAAAGTTTGCACTCTCTTGTCCTGGCTTTTGTTTGGCGCGAACGCTGCAATATTAATCCACGTGCTTGCTCTAACTGACGGTGGGCTTCAGGTGGCCGACTTGCATAAGTGCTAGGCACAGACGAGATTTTCAAAGCATCGACAAGAAATAGAAAATCCTGCGATTCTCTATACAGCCCCAACAACACCGGCCAGCGGCTGGAGAAACCTACTTTGACAAGTGACGGCGCTGACAGTAAGCTGCGACAGCTCCAGCCACAGAGATCAAGGGAGCTTGCTGGATGGCTGGATGGGAGCTGCGACCGCTCTGATGCCAGAAGGAGGCCGCGCCCTGACTTTGGAAGAGTACTGATTTTGTGCTTCAACTGTTGAGGGACAAGAAGTCCTTGGTGAGGATGTCCAAGGGAAGCTTGAAGCAGGAGGCAATAGATGTCCTCCACACAAGAACCTGCAAGATGTCTCAGGGTTGCGGTTGCCTGAAGAAGCTGTTGTCCTGGGGCGTGCCCCCACATTTGCTAGCCTTGGAAGTGGATGCGCCGCTTGACGTGCAGCTTGGGTGGCCAGTGGTCGTTTCATGAATCTCGGCTTGTTTACGCACCCAGAAAAAGCTAGCAAAATGTCTTATGCTGGCTTTCCAGATAAACTCCAAAAATGTAGATTCACAGCAATTTAAGAACTCAGCTACAACATCCTACAGCAAAACATGCAAACAATCTGCCAGTGAAGAAGCTGTGTGCAAATCACACACTTTTCATTTCTTGAAGCGGGGCCATCCTCTGGCAGCACAGGCAACGAATGAGAGCCTGCATGAGCATGGGATAACAACCCCCTAAATCACTCGAAGCTGGAATCACGCTTGCAGGCCACAAATGATACGGTCCCGTCATTAAACTGATCCTATCATGCTTACGCAGCGCGCAGCCATTCCTGAACTACGGTCCCGCAGACATCATGACTCAACGCCCAGTTTCACCTGGTCTTCCGCTTCATTGATGGTTAGGCTGTTTGCGGTCGGTTTGTTTGTGAGTTGGAGTGGGCAAAGTCGTTCTGGTTGAGTTGCCCTTCTCGACGCGTCAGAGTTCACACTGCCTCGCCTGAAAACAATCCCAGCGCAAGGTGATCGCAGCCTCGAGACGCTTTCCATGAACGTTGCAGTCGAGCTATGAGGTCGCCTCCTACTGTATGTTCGAAACACTGTTTGATGATCGTCGTCAACGATTCGGCTAGGGCTGATCTGATTGCTGCATATTCGCCCTCTACACAACTGAACAGATTGGTTTCGGCCAGCTCTCTTTTGCCTTGGATTTGTAGAGTGCCCAGTTGAAGCAATGTTGCCAACTCCATCAAGAGGCAACGCTGCATGTGGTTGAGTCAGTTGCAGGTCATTGCAAGTATCTAATCACTAAATACCTCATCAATCTCGATGATGAGTTGCTCAGCTCTGCTTTTTTGACAATCGTCCATCAACAGAATTCGAGAACCCCCAATCGATCAAGGACGGGAAGGACTCCGCCGTGTCCCAATCACATAGGCCTTTCATTCAACACACAAATGCATGGAGTCGTCATAACAGTTGCACGATGTCATCCCAAACAACCTGACACTAACCTGAGGAAGGGCACGAGCGACAAATAGAGACGTAGGCTCCGAGTGATAGAATCTGGCAAATGAACAACCTGCGACAGCCACCGGGATCAACAATGCCGAGCACATCCAAGCACGGACGTCCTCAACGTTTCTGCCTCTGTCACGGACAGTTCGTCACTCAGCCGACCGACCATGTGAGCCCCCTTGCTCGAACGAATGGAACCAGCACGATCATGGCTAACGTACTCCAACAGCACATGGGCCAACACTGCAATCTCATCAGCGCCACCAAGCTCAAGCTGATTAGTCGACGTAAAAGCTAAGTTCACAAACGAGCGTGACATGCCATCAATGGATTCAGCTTGTTGGCATACTGAAGGCCAAACCTCGGAGCAAACAATGGGTGTCCTAGTCAGCTTTCCCAGTGGTTGCATGTTGAAAACCATGTTGACTTCATGGAGGGTGAAGTGAAAGCCTCAACAACATCGTTTGGAAGCACATGCTTGGGAATATATTGAACTGACTCAGTGATTTCGTTATATTTCGTTTGATTTCATACAAGTCTGGGCCTCACTGTTGAACAAAGTCTTGGGAGGCAGCGTCGCACCTGTTTGAGCGTTGATCTCTCCTTCAGTAGCCCTCGTCAAGCATTACTGACTTCAAGCGACCAACGGCACCAACTCGCAAGACCGAACCAGGGAGAAACCTTCAGGCTTTGGCTGCAAACTTGCGAGAGGTCTTTGTTGCTCGGAGCTCACACTCCGGCGTGCAGTCATGCAATTGCTGCACTTCGAGTCTTGTACACGAAATTGTCCACAAATGCCGAAAAATATGAAGCTTGCCTCAGCTTGCCTTCCAAGGTCAGCTGCAAAAATGGCGGCCACATCAAACATGCCGACCCTCCACGGTGGAAACGGCCCGACTTGTGACGTAGGAGCCTTACCAAGGTACGAGTACATTGCAGCATGAGCACACGTATCTATAAACCAGAGACTCTGAGAACTCCAAAGAACAGCACGCTCGGGTTTGCATCCACTTCAGCATGGTACCACCTCACATCCATAGCGATGGCCTCTACCCTGGTCTCAAGTGGAAGTACTTTTCATAGCAACAGCGTCAAATAGAGCTTGGCACATCTGACCTACGTCAGCTTGGCAGGGCTCAACATCAATCAAGTGACACACCAATTGTAGACTGTAGAGTCACGATCGAAACAGTCAAAAGCAGGGTTCAAGGCATTCGACCGTACAACGTGACGATCATCCTCCAAACATCTCCCAATGTGAGTCTTCACATCAACCGCTCGCTTCATCTCGTTGGTCCCCTGAACCGGAACGCATGTCCATTTCCTAGAATGCGCCTCACGACAGCATTCCTAACCCAAAGCAGTTGTGGTAATGCAAGACTTGACTGCCGGATGAGATGACCCGTACTGGCAGCCATCAATCCAAGACACACTGGCAAATGGTAACCCTTGCTAGAAAATTTGGAGATGCAGCGTAATCCGCCGAGGTTTCTACATCCCGCCTCCCATGATGATGAGAATCCGCACTACGAAAGTAATGAAACCACAGTTCTTAATGCAGGCATGTCCGTGCAAGGCATGAACATGCCAGTCCGCTCTAGGCCAATTCTCTAAATAAGCCACTGTGTGGGGTGAGTTCGGTGAGGCCGTTGTTATTTGCCTGGTTCAATGATTTTGGATAGGAGTTGGCCGTCATACGTCTCACAGTCGCCATGGTTCAGTTATATGTAACTCCGGCGGCCAAGCCTGGCGTAGCACTTCCTAAGATTAGCTTTCGTGGCTCGCTTTGTGGATATGTTGACGGTCCAGCGTGGAGCGCTCCCGCACGAAATCAATGTTGGCGATGAGTTCTTGATGCTTCCAGACCTAAGAGACTCTTGCTCAAGGCCAGGCAAAAGGCTTTTTGAGGATGCGGGTCAAAAAGCGCGTGCTTGGCAAGGTAGGAGCTGTTCTCGCCAAAGTAGGGTGCTCACTTTGCGGAAGCCATCCAAAGTAGTTGCATGAGGCTTGGGCAAAACGCCTGGATTTGGTACTGGGCTGGGCTTCCGAACCTTTTCAAACTCTTTCGGGCTTGCTCTCCTGGACACGAGGTCGTCGGAGCCGCCAAGCGTTTCCATATCGTTTGATGGCATGAGCCGACCCGAAATTTAAGGCCAAGCCGGAACCTCAAGGCTCAAGTAACAAGTTTGGTCAAGGTTGAGGTTATCAATCTGCACGCCAGCACTCACATTTGCAGAACAGACGGCCCAACGGAATTTGGGTTGACTTGAGGCCTGCGTTACGATGGTGAACGAAGTATTTGGGGAGGACAAGGAGATTCGAAGATCTCTCGTGCCGCGCTTTGCGGGTGTCAGTCGATGCCTGATCCAGCATGCGATCTGCGCAAGGACTGCCATAAAAGGCTCCATGTGCCCCATGCGTCTGTGCAGATCTGATCACATCTGTGTATGCCTTCACCTCTGAGGCAACTGCTTCAGCATGGACTCTTCATAAAGTGAGCGGTTCGCAATGCCATCCATCATATGCCTGCAGTACATGGCACCAGCAAAAGCTTTGCTTGCTTCTTCTGGGAATGGCCTCCTTCCAATGCTGTATTGCACAAATTTGCTGAAGATCTCTCATGTTGTGCAAGCCGAGCTCGGAACAGCTCTCTTATTTCATCAGTGGTCACTTACAGAAGCCTAGGACTAGGTCTGCATGATTTCAGACCGGCCTGTAGTTGTCAAACACGACGCTGGCTCCGAACGCAGCGGATGTCCTGAGCAGCTGTCATCACTCCTGACTTCTTCTCTGGGACTCCTTTTTGCTAACATGCTCAGATCGCGACAGGTCTGTATGCGAGTTACTCACGATGAAAACCTGGTGCAGCACAGTTGATCTGGCAAGAAAGCCAGCCACACTGAGCCTGACGTCAATGCTAAGGCGGGAGCGGGCATCACCATAAGCATCACCAGCACCTCAGCGCATCATGGCAAATCTGAAGTCTGCCAGATGGCTATGGATCAAAACCCTGTTTTGTCGCGGGCCCTGTCCCCCTGTTGCATACCCCTTTGTCGCGGCCTGTTGTTACATACCTGCGTCGCGAATGCTCGGCGTAGGCAAGCCCCACACAGGAACCTTGTAGCAAAGGCGCCTGTCGCAAGCCAGGAAATTCTGCTACAAGCCGATGTCGCGGAATGGCAACCCAAGCCTGTTACAAACCTAGTGTTTTTCAAAGGACCGTGAGCACGGGGCACTTTTTGCGCTGACACAGGCTGCCCTTTCCGAGCCCGGATTTGCGGCGGCCCCACTTTCATTAAGTTCCCGGCCAAGATGATGACTCGCCGCGTGGTGAGTGCAACCAGCTTCTTGCCAACAGCGCTCTCGCCTGAGCAGCATGAAAAAGATCGAGGCTTCTCATGTCTTGGGAATCTTTGCACGCCCTTCTGGGGTGCTTGCGTTGGCCCTGCGGCAGCTCAAATGTTTGTTATTTTCACTGCTACCATTGCACAGATGTTGACAAGCAATGCCCTGCCGGCTCCAAAGTCAAAGCACTCCAAAATTGGAGAATGCGTTCTTTTTTCGAGGCGTGCCATTCTAAGCAGCAAACCTTCCCATGCGCAGAAGCCCTGGAAACCATCAATGGTTATACGATTTTGCTGCGCGATTCGGAGATGTGGGCTGACTTCACACGTGTGCAGACTTGCACCCGTCGGAGAACCTGAGATTACTCATATCTGAGGACAAGGAAGAGAGTTTCATCCTCTTGATAGCAGCCCAAGATCGGATGGGCAAAAGCAACACCTTCTGCGATTTAGGAGTCCACGCGAATGTTGCAGACAAGATGCCTACCGTAGTATCTATTTCTGCATACATAAGTTGACTGCTGTTGCCACGATGGCTTGATTTGTCCCAGCTGAATCGGAATCGCCTTGGATTAGAATAAGGTGCCGCAGGCACACAATCACACCATGGCACACAAAGGACCGCCCTCATGATCAGTTTCCGAAAAACACAGCGGGCGCTCGTTCGCCGTTCCTCCACGCGCGTTTTACTCACCATGTTTGTCACGAGAGAAACGGGCATTGATGCTTTCGACAAGTCTTTTCGACAACTACAAGCGGGTACAAGTACGTAACTAGCCAAGAATTCTAGAGTGACATGTGCACCGCATGCCATCTAACAAGGCCCTTCGCTGCGGTGCAAAACAGAATCCACATGGGGGAACAGGACGCACTGGGCTGCAAAGTGTACTGCGACGCAGTATGTCAAACATCACTTCTGCATGAGGTGCAAGCAAACTTGGCCTTTCGCTGCTCCTGATCGTCAAAGTCAGGGTTGTCCCAGTCGTCCTGGGAGCTTTTGAGGTATTAAACGCTTTGGAACACTCATCTGCGCATTCTGCGCCATCTCAGGTTGCGACGATAGTTTCCTCTCCTGGCCTGACACTGCAAAAGAATTCAAGCACGCAAATATCTTTCCCCATAGGTCCAACAGACCTCTGCCCTGCTCAACCTCTGCGTCTGATGCGCGGAAATTCCAACGACTACGTGGAAGCATGGGATCACATCCTTCACGTGCTTTGCTTTGCAATCGGATTGTACGCTGCAGTACAACGTTCATTCGAATGTAGGGAGCAGCAGTGTGCTTGGGAGTCTCCTGCCAAGGAAGACGCTCTTAATGCAAACCATATGAAGACGGGACGCCTTCTTCAATACGTATCTGCAAGACACAAGTCCACCCCAGCGTGGCAGATTAGCTTCGGCATCCCTGCCTGAAAGATTAGTTCCTGAATACCCAAGTTTTCCATGACGACATGGCAAACAGATGTATACAGAAGTGCATTTGGCATTCAGTGCATGCGCATGTGGCAGGTTTTTCTTGGACACCTCGAATCAAAACCTTCATGTACCCTTGCACGTTGGTCAACCCGACATGTTTGACTGTTCGTGCACTTGCACTTTCACTTTAAGTGTGGGTTGCTAACCTCGAGAGCGGTAAACTGCCACCAACATCATTTGAGCCTTGAGTCCGCTCCGTGTCTGAACATTAAGTTGGCCGTGTCACCGCAGAGCTAAGTCCAGCAAAAGCTCAGGCAGCTACCGGACTCAAGGCCCAAACGATGCCAGCTGCATTCTGATTTTTTCTCGCTCTCGAGGTCAGCAATCCACTCTTAAATTAAAGCGCACGTACCGGAGCTTTCGAACGTGTCAGGTTGACCAATTAAAAAGTGTGTATGATGAGTTTGCTTCGAGATGCTTCGAGGTGCTCAAGCCTCAGTTATGTTCTCCCACGAGCACGTGCCGCCCGTACATGCACTGAATGCCAAATGCACTTGTGTTTGCGGTGTTGTCATGCAGAACTCGGCTAGTGCAAACATCACTTAATTACGAGTACTTGTAGGTGTCTGAGGACCTACTGAACATCATGCGCCGCCATACTTTCTCATCAACAGCTGAGCTTGCAATCTCAACTCGCACTCCGAGTCTCACGCGAGTTGTTGCTGCTCTTTGCCGCCTCGGCCATGATTCGCTCATATGCCGCCTGGCACCAGGTCTGCTGAGGCAGGTCATACTTCTACGAGCGCACTGTCAATGCTGATTCACTTCACGGACCTTGTACAACTTGACAATGCGGACCAGGCGAATTACTCGCACCACTCTGCCGACTGACCTTGCTGCTTGAGCATGAATCTTTCCAACTTCTTGCGGCTGCCATGTGAACAGCAACAATTCGAACACTTTTTTGTTCATCCCTCCAGCCGGTAGGAATTCCGGGGCTGACTCTCACAGTCCGAGATATCAGACGCGAAGTTTGGAAACAATAGATATCAGCGGGAAAATAAAACCTTAGCTCAAATCAAGCAAAGCATGAAATTACCCAGTCTTGACCAAAACTCAAGCTCTTTTTTCGCATGTTTCGACTTTTAGAAGCTAGATGAAGCTAGCTTTCACATAGGTGGGCTTGGAGCTTGAGAACATTCCATGGCGATCAAGCTGACCAAGACCGGCTCTTGCAACTGCAAGTGCCGTAGCGCCGTACCTGGCTCTCTGAACTGAACTCACACACCTTCATCCTCAAGGATTTCTGGAATTTACACAATGCCCTGCAGACATTACGGAAATGAAAACAAGGCCCATGTGACATAGACCGCTGTATAGCGCTGTATGCACATCTGGACTAATTCCATTCTTGTAGACGAAGCCATGCGATGCGAGATAGCCTAAGCACACATAGGCTACCAGCTATCGACCATCATAAGTTGTTATGCGCTGTAATGAGCTGCGGCATGCCTGCATGCACCCGCTGACTGGGTCAGCAGCAGGCGGTTTTGAAATGTTTCACATACGAGTACTTTTTGCTGTATGGGAACAACAGGAAAGCATGGTGATGGAAGCAGGATGAAGCGGGTGCATGAACTTGATAGCAGGGTGTTGATATGACAGAAGGAAACCAGTGACACCACTGAAATCAAATCGGCGAATAAACCCACAAGCAGGGAGATCCTGGTTTGTCACGATTGAGGCTGCTGACAGCAAGAAATTGTGGAAAATTGTGGAAATCATCGAGTGTTTGCCATGGCCTTGTGCATGGCTTTTTGTTTTCACTTGATGGCTCTGGCAGCCTTTTAATCCTGGTCCTCGTGCTGCCCGCATGCCTGCAGTGAGCTGCAGTCCTGCTTACTCCAGCACATACCGAGCGCACTTTAAATTTCCGGGCGCTGATGCTCCGCCCACGGGTTTGTTGGCATCCCTGCACAAAAACATGGTTTGCACAGCAAATGCAGGCTGAGGACGAAGCGCTCCAAGGCGTGCGGTTCGTCCGCCTCGCGCCTCCGGCGATGAGAAGACAAAGAGAGGGCTTGCCGTGTGCATCTCGACTAGACATTCCAAAGCAGGCAGGCCCTGTCACCCACTTCCAGATCATCCGAAACAAGCTGGTCCGCAACCTGTTGCCATCAACAGAATCCAGCGTGCGTTGTTCTGAAGGCTGAGCTGGCCGGACCCATGTAAGATCCAGGAGGAGGGAGGCCGTCGACACGCAATCGAGGACGAAGAAAAATCCAAGAAAATAATCCTGGAAGGCAGAGCATGGCGGCTCTTCTCAGTGAAGTGTGGAGGTATGGAGATCAACTGATCGTCCTGCTTGCAAAAGGAGGACAGCAAGACCTGCACAGCGCAGGTCCTCTTAGAACATCTGAACATCTGATGGTATTCCAACAGTGGCTTTCCTTTATGACATGTTAAAGGACTCCTTTGTGTGCCCATTGATTGGAAATCCTGTACTACTTGGATCGGAATTAGAGCAAATCGCGTGTGGCTTGGCCGCCGAGCTTCTTCGTTTCGGAGGCTCAGGCGAGAGTGGCATGAATGTGCCACAAGAGTGCCACGTGTTTTCTGCTTTGCGGCATTGATTGAAAAAGCAGGCGTTGTCAGTCAGCCTGCGAGCTGCAAACGTCCGACGACCTCATCTCTGAGGAGCTATAGTCACTGCGCTTACAGTACTGGAAGTCTTTCGAGACACCTCGGCTACATCGAGGGAACACATGAATACTTCCATCCCCGGTTCCAAGTGCTGGATCATATTTGCAGGCACGCCTCTAAGTCCTGCTTTCATGATCTCAACTCGTCAGAAAAGCAGTGACTAGTGAGCGGTGGATCGTAGATGTAGCATGATGTAGCGAGCCCGGCAATGGGCCACTTCAGGAAGCAGCAGAACGGGTACTCGGCGAGCATTCGGGTTTCCTGGCTTGTCAATCCCGCGCCTGTAACATCTCGTTATTTTTGCGTGCATGGATTTCAGTGTGACAGCTAGCTTGAGAGTTAGTTGAAACGGTAGAGGGCTTGTTGTGTCCTTCTGTTGGCTCATGGTGCAAAAGCGCACATCTGTTGTGTCTGAAGGCCTTTGCCTCTGCTCATACATCAGCCTCTGTTCTTGCCAATGCCACCTTCCCACATCTTCTGTTGTCAGGACTTCCAACTCTAAATGCCTCCAGCGCGAAGAAGCAGAGGCAAAAAATGGTGGCAACGTTGAACCTGAAGACAGCGAGTGTTGCCAAAATCTTGGCCGACAGCTGCTGAAGCAAGAAGCACGTCAAAACAATCAGAACAGCTTGAAAAGCTCGGAATACACTCTGTCGCCCTGCTCAGGACTCAGGCCCACTTTGTGACCTGATGCGAGGGCCTACTGTGATTCAGCAGGACCCATCTCCATCATGCATAACGCAGCATGCCTCAACGTCGCAGGATTCGCAGGCGAGAGAGCTGTAAATTATTCCAAGGCTGCACTGCTTGTTGTCATTGGGTGGGTTAGTGTGCACGCCAGTATCTGAAAGAAAGCTGAACTATGAGGCTTGCTTTGAATGGCCTTACTCCCTGAAACCAGCCTAATTACGGACGCCATAGGCACAAAGTACAGGCCCTTCTTGCAAAGGTTGAGGAGAAACACTCCTCAATGTCCTGCTATGCCACACTGCCAAATCGGTTTCCAGACTTAACCCATGTGTAGATCGATTGCTGACTGCCACGGCAGATTCCCGAGTCAAGCTCAGGTTCTGAACACATTGAGCGGTCGCTCTGCAGTGCTCACAATGCTCAGGTCATTGGCTGTTCGGCCTGAGGCCAGTCGACCTGCTGCAAATCACATGGCATGGCCGATGCACGGTTAAACAGAGTGGGTTCTCAGTTCCGTGCTTCCAGTGCTTCCTAGGAAGGCACGCCCTGCCAAATTGGTGCAGTGCTTGTGGTGTGTACATGAAATCATGATGCACGAGGCTGTGATGAAAGATGTGGACCTGTCATCCGCCAATATTTGAGATCCTGGCTCGGCAACCTCAGCTGAGAGATGAGAATAGGATACATCACACAAATCAGGGCCCGACTAGCGCCTAGCTCATACGCCTGCAGAAACTCAACCACTTCCTTAAGTTCTTGATGCGAAGCCTTCCTAATCGTTGGGCAGAAGGCCGGTAAAACTTTCGGGGTCGGGCTGCGTGAAGCATGCTAAATGAAACATGGAAGCAATCGCAATTCCAACAA